TTTGTGACGAATATTTGTGAAGTTTTGTTATTTTTGTAGATTATTGAAACTTTGGGAAGCCTTTGTTTGTTGTCAGCAAGGACTATATCGAGGAGAGTATATTCATGGTTTGGATTGGGAGGTTTGGAAGGAGGGCCTCCCTCCTCCTTGTTTTTTCCTTGAGACAAAATTTTGTTTTCTTGGGTATTTCCTAATTTGGTAGTTTTGATGCGATCAGGAGAGAGTTTTTTTCCTTCAATTTTGATTTTTTTATAGTTTTATATATAAATCTGAATAGATATTTATAGCTACTTGATATTATTTAGAATATATATTGGTTTTAATATTTATTTTCCATGTTACTTAAATAGTTTCTATAGGAAAGCTAGCATTAGACTCATTGATCAATTGGTTATATAAAAGATGTTGTTATTTTTTATATATAAAATAATTTAAATTTTTATGATAATAAAGAGATAATATTTACCTACTTAAAAAAAAATGTCTTTCTGCTATCAGTTTTCGATCCTATATTGATTTTTGAAATTGAATTGGTATATGACAATATATATATTTGATATATTTACTCTTTTATAAACAAGAGTACTTTTTTTAAATATATTAGTTATACTATATATATATAGTATATATTCTTGAAAAATAATGTTTAACCATTTAAAAAAGTTTTATATAATATTAATATATTTTAGATTAGTTTATTTTATAATTTTATTTTATATAAAAAAAAATTTTTTTATAAAATAATAATTTGTATATACTTTATTAAGAAATATTTAATAAATAAAATATAAACTATATATATTATTAAAATTTATAGATTCTTAATACAATTGATATAATTATTTGATACAATTAATTAAATCACCATTAAAATATATAAAAAATATTTGGGTTATGATACAATTATTGAAAAATTTATATTTTTAATATTTTAAATTAAAAAACAAAAAAAATATAAAATACAAAAAAGATTTTTTTTTGTTTTACTTAATAAAAAAAATTTTAGAAAAATATGAGTTATATAAAATAAAATTTTATAACTATTATTAAATATTGTTTTAAAGTAAAATTAATAAAGTATTTTTTAATATTATTATTTTCAAAGTTTTTTTTCAATTACTTTTAATTAAAAAAATAAGACAAATATTTTTTTAAACTTATGTAATAAAGAGTTATAAAATTTTAAAAAATAATAGACAAATAATATTGTATAATAATAATTTAATGGAGTTATTTATTGATAATAAAATAAATTACAAATATTTAAATCAAAAGCTAATGTAATAACCTTAATAATAAATATTTATGAATTATATATTTATATTTATGAACTGAATAACAAGTATTTTACTATTTACGAAATAATATAACTCTAATATAATAATTGATTGTATCATTGTTTTTTAATTAAAGATTAATAAAAATATATTGATAAATGAACATTTTAAAAAGTGTTTAAAATAATAATTAAAAGAAAATAAATGTGTTTTTAAGAAATAGTAAATTAAAAAAAATTTATTTAACATTAACAATTATATATTAAAAAATATATATTGTACAACAGAAAATAGAAAAATGTTATTTGATAATGTTATTTTAATTTGAAATTAAAAGATACATACCACATTTTAAAACAATTGACAATTTTTATAAACTTTTTTTTTTTTTGATTATTTTAAAATTATATTTAATAGATTTAAATACCGTATATGTTAAATAAAAAAAACCAAAGAATTATTTATTTTATTTAAATTTCTGATCAAAAACTTTTACTTTATTTTCTGGTTAAAATATTATAATTTTTATTTTATTAATAAAATTTTACGTTTAGAAAAAAATTTTAATCAAAAAATATACAGTAAAATCAAACACGGTACTGGCAAACATAAATTTATAATAGAATTTACATGCATCAAATGTGTTGCTTATATATTAAAAATTGGTTTAATAACAATTAAATTTATTCATGAAATATTTATGGAAAAAAAATGATAATGATTTTAGTTAATAATAAATAAACCCAAAATTCCTCTTTAAAGCAAAATATATGCTCCCATATTACGCTAAAACTCCAATGTTATAATGATTTGTTAATTAAATCTCAATGCCTTGTCATTCGAAAACTCATGATACAGAATAAAAAACAGCATGAAATCGAACTCTTCTTCAAGAGTCATTTACATGATAACGCGTGATTTCTCACATAACTAAAATTCAGAGGCGTTCAAGGCATCATAAAATCTACCCAGTATAGCAACCAGCAATGATATTACACTGGTGACCAACGTGAAAAATGGTATCACAGAATAGTAGGATCGAGATTTGTGGTACAGCAACTATGTCGTGTCGAAAAAAAAGAATTTTGTCAAAAATCTCATCGATGGATACTTTACCAATGAAATTTGGAAAAGGGCTTATACTGTACACACCTGAATAACAAAATGAGGAACATCCTCAATTATTGCATCTAATACGCTAATCCACATAATCCACTTATTTGCTTTAATAGAAATCCCAGCGCTAAATATCTCCAATCCGGCGAGTTCGGAGTAGATTAATCTTATTGCTTGGATATTTGCCGAAGAGCAAACCGTCATTACAGCAGCAAATTTTGAATGATCATAAAGCCAATTTTGGAACCTTGGGTTATGTATCCTTTCGTATACCATTATATATACCGTCGATGAGAAATTGATTATTACTGGTATTACTAGTACAAGAAGGCTAAGAAAAAAATCATGAATTAGTTACGGGAATGCAACCTTCACATTCACATTTTACCTTTCTAACAAACCTAGGCAAATAAAGCGACTTTACATCATTCGCGTTATTTAAGAAAAACAAGCAATCAAAAGTAAAATCCACGAATATCAATGCCAGTGAAAATATAATGGAATTATTGCCCTTTGTGCAAGGAAAGAAAATATTTTATTCGTTAAGAAATTTACAAAAAACATCAATAACAAGAATGCACTTCCATTTACCTTTCTATGCATACAAAGAGCAACAAGATAACACAATAGCAAAATTACCAAAATTGCAAGGACCACTATAATAGTGATTTTGTACTCCACGAAAATATTTTCTAAAGTCGCATGTATCATAAATTGATTAATAAAAACACAGTAAACATGTTGTTTTTTAAAGAATAAAGAGACTTGCTTGCATATGGTAACAAATCAGTTCCGTTTATTTTTAGATGGTCTAAAGATGGTATCTCTTCTCTTTTATAAATAAAGTCATCTCCATTTACAGGTACACCCCACGATACATTTTGTGAATATGTTAGAAGTGTGAATATATATAAAGTAAGTTTAATTAAGTAGAATGTTGGTGAAAATGACAACTGGTGCATCTTTCTCCCGATATCGTTACTTATTTTAGTTGAAAAAAAAAAAAGAAGAAAAAACTCGAAGGGGAATATACGTGAAAAACAACAATGCAGAAGTTTTATAGAATTTTTTTTTTTTTTATCAAAAAAAATTATTTCTTGTTCTCTCGGTTAAGCAACGCGCTATAACAGAACCACGATAATTCTCGTGGTTCTTGTTGATCATCAATTGAGTTTTCGATATTTGACTGAGGCGTCAAGATCTGCAACTCGTTTCAAATGCAAAACCGATTTCATTATAAGCCATTGTTGCTTACGATATATTAAGAGCTCATAAAGTACCATATTACCTTCTTAATTTATCAATTGCTAGTTTCTCGGTCTGTACCACAACAGGTTCTTATCATACATTGAGAATGATCTGATATAAATATGTACATCTTGGATGATTGATACGATCCAACATAAAACTTAAAAATTCATCGACAAAAACGGAAAGCTACGTCCGAAAGATACAATGTGTCAAACGTTGAATTTAAAAGGTTAGTAAAGTCTGATGATCAATATTCACTACATGTATTTGTGAAACACACTCAAGACTTTTTACGAAAACAGAGCAAAAAGTATGGATAGCTAATTACTTCTAGATACTGTATAAAGTTAATGCAAAGCTTTAAAACAGAAAGCCGTATTGTGATAACGCAATTTATTTAAAATTACCCTGGCAATTTTTTACTGCCAAATTTGGATTATTAATATACATGAATCTACGATTCTGTAGTACAGTGTTTAGAAGTTATTAAAATAATACGTAGTGTTGACGATCGTGTGTTGAATTTGTTTTTTACGATAGAGAAATTGTATAAAGGCAAGGCTATTCGAGAACAGTAGACTCAAGAATGAGATGATCAAATAAATATACATACTGTATCGCATAACTTATAACAATCAATAATCAATCGAAATCACTAAGGTAATTAATGGTTCAAGCAAATACGTATATAGCACGATATAGATAATCTTTTCAAACTTATATTCTAATAACGTAGTACTGTATAAAAAAATAAAACAAGAAAAAAAAATATTTTTTTTTCAAAATTTAAATTTGAAAATAATACATATCAATAAAAATTATAATTAATAAATATTCAAAAAAATTATCGCTTTCACAATTTATAAAATTATTTGTTAGATATAAAAACAAATATAATAAAATCGTAAATTTATTTTTATATTATTAATTTTAATAATCAATAAAAATTTTTAACTAATAACAACTGCATTATGACCATTGTAATGAGCTTGTTAATTTATGTACAACAATTTATGAATTATTATTTTATTTATTTATTTTATTTATTTTATTTCAGAAAATACAATGATAATAATAATTGAAATTCTGTACTGTATGTTTTTTTTATTAAAGAAAAAAAATTTTTTTTAAATCATTTAAAAGCTTTACATTCTGTATATATTATATGAATGCTGTTAAATAGAAAAAAATTTTTAAATCCTTTTTTAATATAATATTCATATTAATAGTACTGTATATTGTTGATTTATTTAATTTATAAAAAAAATCTTTTTTTTTTATTATTTGTTTAATCGTTATTTTATTTTATTTTATTTTATTTTATTTTTTAACAAAAATATTTTTAAATATACGTGTGATGCAATATTGTTACCTCGCAGAAACAATAATTCAAGAGTTATAAATAAAATTACTTAAAACATCGACCATGATGTAAAACTACTTTCAAGAATTTTTTTGCTTTGTTTCATGATAAATGTATCGGTCACAGTAATTCTAAATGCGAGTAGTATTGGTGAATTAGTCATTCTATTATACTAGCATAATCCAAATATGGTTTTTTGACAATAGACATGATTTTCGTTTTGAAAAAATTTTCTATTTGTTTGTGGAATTTTCAGTCTTCCCACATTTACCGTCGATCATTATAGTCGGTGCACCATAACTACCATAACTACTGTATTAGTTGCTTCAAGCAGTTCGCTCACGAAAAAGCTCTAGTACTAGTTCATTCTTAAATTTTTGATAATTAGGCAAATTGTTTTAATTCAGAAATTATCTAGGCATACGCTGTAATCAGTAATGTCACGCAAAATGCTATGTAACGCCGTAACGCACAATACATTCAAATGAAAGTCTAAAAACGTTCTCTTAGACCGGAGTTTGAAGTCCATATAATTGAAATTAATGCTTTATATTCCTATCAGATAGAAAATTTTTCTTAGTAAGAAATTGATAACAAGAATGGCATCTTCGCATCCACCGGCACAGGACACGTATCAAATACCGATTCCGCATCCACCACCACAAGACACAAATTACTCTCCATCAAGCCCACACCCCACATTTCATCCCGAAACACCAGGGCCCTCGACGATTATTGACATAATAGAGTCTGAGACTATAACTGACGAGACAAAATTTCACTATGGTCAATCTCCCGCATATCAACCACGTCGTGATAAGACTAAAAAGCGTGTAAAACTCCATGGAGAAAACTATGTGACAGAATGTCCAGTGCCCACAAATTTTAAACAAATGATTCCTAGAAAAGATGAGAAAGAATTTTCGTATATGAGATATACTGCTTGTACATGTAAACCTGATGATTTCGAGAAAAAAGGTTATACCCTTCGTCAAAGCGAATTCGACCCACCAAGATCAACAGAATTGTTTATAGTATTAACTATGTTCAATGTGAGTACTGTTAGATAGTTAATTGTTATACAAGTTTTGAGCGAAAATACGAGACTCTTATATGCTAACTGTGTTGGTTGGTATCTTATCTTATAGGAAAAAAAGGAGGATCTTGCTCGCACCTTCCACGGCGTCATGAAAAATATTTCTCACCTTTGCTCTCGTAAACACTCTAAAGTTTGGGATAAAGGTGGATGGAAAAAGGTTGTAGTGTGTATTGTATCCGATGGTCGAAAATTTATCAAGCCATGTACATTAGCTTACTTAGCAGCCATCGGCGTCTACCAAGACGGGGTTGAAAAAGGCAATTATGAGGTTATGAGGAGTGACGGTACGGTGGAGAATAGGAAGGTTACAGCTCATATATATGAGTATACAACTCAAGTTTCAATTGACACGAATATGGAATTTGAAAAAGAAAACATCGTTCCTATCCAAGTTATCTTTTGTCTAAAAGAAGAGAATGCTCAAAAGATTAACTCGCATCGTTGGTTTTTCAATGCCTTTGGAAAGATCCTAAAACCTAAAGTATGCGTTCTTCTGGATGTCGGTACCAAGCCTGGTAGCACGTCAATACACCATTTATGGAAAGCTTTTAAAAATGACAATGTTGCCGGTGCTTGTGGTGAAATTATCGCAATGAAGGGTAATGCTGGTGTTTTCAACCCGATAGTGGCCGCTCAAAACTTCGAGTACAAGATGTCCAATATTTTAGACAAGCCCCTTGAATCTGTTATGGGATATATTACCGTTTTACCCGGGGCCTTTTCTGCCTATCGTTACACTGCTTTGCAAAATGATGATAATGGCAAAGGTCCGTTGAACTCTTATTTCGCTTGTGAGGTGGAGGAAGACGAGGAAGGTGACGAAGATAATAGTGAAAAAAATGAAAAAAAAAAAGTGGACAAGGAGGATCTGTTTACCGCAAATATGTACCTCGCGGAAGATCGTATTCTATGCTTTGAACTGGTGACCAGGAGAGACAGTGCTTACGTATTGCATTATGTCAAATCTGCTTATGCAGAGACTGATGTGCCAAATGATGTAGCAGGATTGATAAAACAAAGACGACGCTGGTTAAATGGTTCTTATTTTGCCAGTTTATATGCATTGCGGCATTGTCTTGCTGTTTGGCGAAGTCACCATAGTCCGATTCGAAAGTTTGTCTTGTTTGTTGAAATGCTCTATCAACTATACAACTTACTTTTCACATGGTTTGGTCTGGCATGTAGTATTTTGATATCATTTTGTTTTGATTCGATTTTCATTGTTTCTTATTTGCTTATTATTTTGTGCTATAGGCCAATTTTTATTTGACCTTTTACATCCTGGGTGTTTCTCTCACTAATTTAAAAGTAACCCCAGATGCCCTGCTTCAGGTCTTATCTATTATATATATAATACTGATTGTCGTTCAGATAATTCTGGCCATGGGAAATAGACCCCAAAGGTAGGGACATGAATACTGTAATATAAATATGTTGCTTATACAATGTCACAATGTCACAATTTGTTCATTTACAGTTCCAAATGGGCCTATATAGTTTCTATGATATTCTTTGCGCTTATCATGATTTACATGTTATTCGCTGCCGGTTGGATCACATACAAGGGTGTCGCTTTGCAACTAGATAGTCACAAGGATGACATTACTGGCGCCAATGTGTCGACTGCGAACGCCTTATTGGAAGATCAATATTTCCGAAATATTGTCCTTTCTGTGATTTGTACATATGGATTATATTTCGTTTCAAGTTTTCTATTTTTAGAGCCATGGCACATGTTCTCCAGCATAATTCAATATTTGCTTTTGGTTCCATTTTACGTCAACGTCCTGACCATTTACGCTTTCTGTAACGTGCATGATGTCTCGTAAGTACCACTTTTTTTTTTTCGAGTCTCACCGAGTTCAACTATTATTTATTACGTGCATTATATATAGTTGGGGCACGAGAGAGGCTAAGTCAGCTCGAGGGTCTGGAAAAGTTGTTCAAAACGACGATTCTTCCAGTCAATCAGAAATGGAAGTAGAAGTTGAAGCACCCGTTGAAGAAAAAGATATTAACAAAACGTTCGATGAAGCCGTTAATGCAGTGAAGGAATCAGAAAATAAGAAACCAACTATCCGTTCGTCTAAAGAAAAGAAGGAAGATAAGGTCCGAACATTCCGTACGCGTTTTGTGCTTGCATGGCTTATTACCAATGTCGCGTTCGTCTTTGGTATCCAAAGATTACCTCAAGAGAAGATAAATAATACTTATGTGGCTTTTATTTTGTGGTCTGTAGCCGGGTTAGCTGCATTTAGATTTATTGGTAGTTGTACATTTCTGTTATTTAGATTGTTCACCGGCAATTTGGGTAATTTCTCCAGATGATGATTGTACTTTAGTCATTCTAAAAGCAAGGATATATATTATAGTTGGTAATTGTAATTTATTTGAAACTTTTAATATTTTTTTCCAAACACAGTATGTAATGATTTCTTTATTATCAGATCTAAAATAAAATAAAATAAAATAAAAAATCTCATTGAACTACCAATATTTTTAATTACTCTTATGTTGGAGAAATTATAAAATATAAATTTTATTTCTATAGTATTTCTAGATCATGTAACACAAACCATGTGACATGTGATATCAAGGACATAAGTTAAATATGAATTATTATTGATAAAAAAATTTTTTTATTTTATTAAAAAGTGGTGATGAATCATCACCAATCTTTTATTGCTGATAACTTGAGAAAAGTATTATTATAATTAGAATAGTATCTGACTTTTATATTATTTCAATAAACTTATCAATTGCCTAAATTAAACCTAACTAATCTAAGCATATAAAAGTTATATGTTTTGTTTATATTTCTTGCTATTTGTAGATTATCCAGTTCAAATTTCAAGCCAATTATTTTTCAAAAATTCTGAATTAATTAAAAATTCAAGGTTAAATTGAGATAGACAAAATTCTTCAAAAAAACTAGAAAAAAGTTATATGCTTGAAAAAACAAAAGAAAAACTAGTAGAAAATGAAAAGAAATTTCAAAAGTCTTGTGTCAATCTTTTTTAGAATTTTGAATCTTTAAAAAAAAGAAGAAATATGTTTTTTTTATAGGTTTTTTTTCCTAGCAAAGTATTATTGCCTTTGACTTTATAGATAAATTTTTTTATGTTTATTTATAGAAATATAAGAAATTATTTCAAAAAGAGAAAAAAACAAATGGAAGGAGGAAACTGGAGTCTCTAGATAATAATATACATATATATAGTTTTTTGCTACAAACAAGCATAAAATGCAAGACTTTATTGATTAATCAATAATCCTGTTATTACATTAAGCATCCATTTAAGTTAATACTAGCCTATTGTATAAAAAACTTCTAAAACGATAAAAACATTATGTAGGTGAAACTACAATAGAAGTAGTTCATAAATGGCTTATGCTTGTTTATAAACAGCTAAGTTATGGCTAGTGAAAATATTTTTTTTAGTGATATATAAGATTTTTCAGAAATTAATCTTGATTTGGTAAGTATTTGATGTGTCTTTATATGATGATATTATTGTTGTTGTTCTTAATAAGTTAATATCAGTTTGGTTCTTGTTTACTTGAAGTATCAAATTTTAATTAGCTATTGGGATTATATAGATCATTTGAAGGGTTGAGCTAATTTGGTTTTTGATTTTGAAAAAATTTTTGATGTTGTTAAAGTAACATAGTAAAGTATACTTCATTTAAGTTGTTTAAAAGGGTTTGGTTAAGACAAGTAGAAGAACTCAAAACTTTATTTTAATATACTTTTAGGAAGAAATAAGTGGTATTAAGAATAATAAGAAGAATGATTATTATTATAATAATAAAGGAGAAGGTGCATAAAGACAAAATTAAGAAGAAGAACTGCCATGGGCCTTTTTTATACAACTAAAGAACAAACAAGACTTCCAAACTTGCTTGGCCTTTGACCAGAGGTCTTATCTCGATACAACAGGGATTCTTAAAGTTCTTATATTCTTGAGCTTATAGTATAGTTAACATATTAAAAAAAGAGAGAAAAGCATTTATTTCAAGAAAATTACTATAAAAGAAACTCTTTAAGAAATTAGTGGTGAATGAGTGAGAGTTTTTTTTTTTTCCTCTAGATAATAATATTATTAAGAAAAATATATAGACTATATTATAAAGAAATATAAAACTTCTTTGAAATGTCTATATTTTGAATTGGCAAAAGTATTAACTTTTATAAATAGTTTAATATTATATTAATTATTTGTATTAATTAATATTTATTATTTGTTAATTATTTATTTTTATTTTTATTATATATATTGTTAAACCTAAAAGTTTAACTTTTCCGAAATAGGAAATTTCTCATCAAATATCGATTCAACACATTAATTCGCTAATAATAGACCTATAGTATTTTTATCTGCTGAACAACTTTACTTAGAATCCGGAAAAAGGTTTCGGTCACCACTTTTGTGATAATCAAGGATTTCGGTCAAATGTTTATAGTATCTAATTAAAATATAATGTTATATCACATGATCAAGTGATAATCCCCAAGTTATGAACACGAAGGATTGAGAAACATGTTACAAATTAGCCTTTTATTAACTTTTCCATATTTGTATTATTTGTTACTCTCAATAATTTAGCACACCAATTATGTTCTTTATTTCTTTTTATATAAATTGAATTATTATGTATTTTGTGTACAAGGAGGAAATAATAGAGAAATTGTAAGAAAGTTGTAAAGGAAATGATGAGAGATTTGTAGGAGAATTAAAGATGAAATTAATAGAATTAGGAGTGTAATAATGTTTTGATAATAAACAATTCTTTACAAATCATTACAATTATATTTGTCTTTATACAATTATAATTGTTACGTCTCTTGCCTTATAATTGTTACAACCTCAAGTATGTTCTTTACAAACTATAGCATGCCACATTAGGATTATGTCCTAAATAAAATGTCTCCCTGCTATCAGTTCTCCATTCTATGCTAGTCTTTAAGATTGGATTGGCATATAAAACTATATAATTTTATTTACTAAATAAGTATTTGTTTAAAAGTTTAGGTCTTGGGTGTTTATATAAAAAAAGTTTATTAAAATTAAATAATTGGTTTTTAAGAAAATTATGTAATAAAATTGTCTAAAAGCTTAGATCTTGGGTATTCATATAAAAAAAGTTTATTAAAATTAAATAATCGATTGTTAAGAAAATTATGTAATAAAATTATTAATAGTTTTTGAATTTGAAAATTACAAATATTCTTTTATATCTAATTTTTAAATTTCAATTTTCATTATATCTTTCTTAAATCTTAAAAAAAACCTTTCTTTTTTATTAAAATATTATAATCTTTATTCTTTACTTTTTAATTCCTATTCAAAATCACAAAAAAATTTTATTACATCAATTTTATATAATACTGCTTTACAATTATCTAATAATTAATCAAAACAATTATATAATTATTTTGCAAATAATTCTTACATTAGAAAATCTTTTTTTCTAATTCACAAAATAATTTAAAAACTATATAAGTTCTTCATAATATTAAATTATATATAACTCTGTTTTTACCAAATATAAATTTAGCATTTTATTATTAATTATTTGTTTATATAGTAGATCTGAATTAAAAAATATTGATTTTAATTTTAGCAATAAACAATTTTCTACTGTTCTTAAAAAATCTAATGATAAATCTTTTAATTTAAATGATTATTAAAGACATATTTCTATTTCAAAACTTAAAATTAATAAAGAAACATTTGAACTTATTATTAATTTTCTTTTATAAAACCAGAGGATTGATGAAATAGAGTAGTAAAAGAGAGAGAAGCCTAGAAAGAAAACCTTCAAGGGAAAGGAAAAAGTGTTTATTAGCAGGGAAGGGGATTTGGGAAAGTGAAAAATATTCAAGATTATTAACTTCTTTTTGTCAACCTATAATATTTTTTTTTTCTTTAAAAAATACAAATTTTGATTTTAATCCTTCTTTAGTATATTATCTGGAAAAGCCAAAAAAAAATAATTTATAATATATTAAAATCACAAAATCCTAATCTAAGATTAAGTCTTAGTAAATTTTATACACTTTGTTTTAAAAATTTTCAAAAAAGCATAAAAAAAAACTGATATGTGTTCAATTTGTATTGAATGAGAAAAATTCAAAAAAAAAATTACAATAAACCAATTCAAATAATACTTTTCTTATTACTTACTTGCAAATGAAATTAATTTTTACAATAAATATTTATATTTTAAAAACCAATATCAAAAACTTTATAAAAATTCTTTTGAATTAATAACTATAATATTTTGTGTTATAGTTAATATTATTGGTTACAAGAAAATATTATTTAAAATTAAAAAAATAAAAGATATAAGAAAAACAAAATATATTATATCCAAAAAAACAACAAATAATATTTTAACAATAATAGGAAATAGAAATAAACAAAGATTATTAATTAGAACAGAAAACACATTCAATTATCCTATTCCAATAGAATTTTAAATTTTTCTTTGAATATATGCTTGAAATTAATTTTTAATTTTTTTAAAAAAACTTATTTTATATACAGTATCTTTTTTAATATTTATCAAAACCTAATAAAATATATATTATTAGAGAGCTTATAATCTAAGGAATCCAATGGTAATAAAATTGAAAAATTTTAATTGTTGGTTATTAAAATATTATTATTTAACTTTAAAATTTTTATTAATATTAATTCAAATTAGATAAAAATACTGTAATTTAATAGCCAATATATTGAATTATTAATATTTAATTTTTTTTTTTTAATTTTAATTATTAGTTATCAAATAATTAGATTTAAAATTTAAATTAATTTCAAGCACATGTATAATAATATAAGGTAAAACCCAAAGTATAGGTAATAGCTATATATGGCCTTGAGTCCAGTTACTTTCTTTCCATGCAAGTTTTACCTTATATTATTATATTTATTATTATTTTATATTATTTTTTTTAGTAGGTAAATATCATTTATTTATTTATTGTATTGGTAGGTACATTAGTAAAAAAAATAATATCTCTTAGATGAAAAAAGTATACAAGTTAAATGCTAGCATGCTTATATATTTATATCTAGTTAATATCAAAAAGAAATTTTAAAACAATATTATACATGCTAAATATAGACTAAGTAGTAGTTATGCTTACTTATTTAGAATTTTTGGTTGGATATAAATAAAATGAAAAGTGAAAGGAAATTGAAAAAAAAAGGAAAAAAAATTTTATATTTGATGTTATACAAGTGAAAAATATAATAAAACTAGTTATATAATTAAGAATATCTATTCAATGTCCACTTTGATAGTTTCATTCTGTTTAAGTATATTGAAGAATATACTTTTTTGATTGGCCAGGCTACTGTTCAAAATATATAGTAATAATAATAACATGTCTTTTAGATAACTGTTAATACATAATGGTAGTAGTTAATTGATTGGATAGTTGTTTGAATATAAGATGGTAAAACTGATTATATAATTAAGAATGCCTATTTGATGTGTTACTCTGGTAATTCCAATCTGTTTGAGTATATTGAAGAATATACTTTTTTGATTGGCCAGGCTACTGTCCAAAATATATAGTTGTGATAATAATGAATATTCTTGATAGTTGATAGTACATAATGGTAGTGGTTGATTGGTTGAATAATTAATTAAGTGTAAGGAGTTTAGGTGTGATAGTTATTGATTTGTAAAATTAGAGTTGTGTTATTGTTTTTTAATTGATAATTGATAAAATGTGTTTGTTGTTTTGATGTTTATTAATAGAAAAAAGTCATGTGGTTAAACAGATTTTCATTTTTGGTATTGTTTATATTGATCTTTGATAGTGTTAACCTATTTAATAAATCTTAAAATTAAATAAATCAACAGACAACAGTAGCAAGGAATTATACATGTTGCTGAAATTTGTATATCCTTGACGCAATTATTTGACACAATTAATTGAGTCACTATTAAAACATATAAATAACTGAGTCATGATGCAATTATTTTTGAGGATTTTGGGAATTGAGTCAACAGAAAATAATTTATGCCACATGTATAGCAGGGAACCATCTAATTTAGAGAAAAATAGCCTCAGTTGTGATATACTAGTGTTGATAAAATGAAGGAATTGAGCAAGGTTTATTTTCAAGGCAAGAGGCACGGTGATTTGATTATGGGTTCAAGATAGTTTTTATTAGAGAGAGTTAAGAAGAGTTAAGAAATTCCTTGGATAGTTGAGAAGAATAGCTATCCTATTTATATATGTTTGAAACATATGAAACTAAAATGTAAATAAGCAACAAGATATGCCAGTTCAGTCAGATATGCCTGATATCCTTAATCATGTCACTCAGGTCGTTCAGACTGTTCTGTCTGATCAGGTCGATCAGGTCGGTCAGGTCGATCAGATCGATTAGGCTGATCAGTCATATTCGGCAGAAATGTCATATTTACTCGCTATACTATATATACTAAATAATTAATAATGGAAATAATATAATAATATAATATTATAAAATAATAATCTAAAAATAGTACTATCAATACTCATAACATTCCTCCCTACTTAGCAATGAGTCCCATGAATAAATTCCCACCAATATTGAATACTCATTAAGTTTTATCCTAGAAATCATAGTAATAGTGACATGTTGTGTTTGCTCGATTTGGGCAATACCAGTTTTTCCAAAGAGATTATAGATACGTTGGCTGACACTCAGGTGATACTTGGAAAGTTGTCTATTCAAGTACTGTTGTTGGGTTCTTGTTGGAATAGATTCCAATAATTCTCCCATGTAGTAAGCACAAATTAAAGTCTTCTTTCTGTCCCTCATTTTTGCAAAACGTTGTAGTTGAATATAAGTTATGTGGATTTTCTCTTCAAGAGATTGATCATCAAGATAGGGGGGTGGTGATATATATACATTTTGAGGTTCAATTCTCAGGAGATCTTCTATAATTAGATCTTAAATGGCAATTATTGACATTTTTGCATGAGGTAGTTTGATTTTTGAGACAGTTATGCAGGAGTATGGAGTATATATATATGTTTTTGATGGAAAAGTTTCACAAAGTTCTAAAAGATTCCATAAGATTCTTCATAATTCCAGATACTCCTTCAAATTTCTTGATTTAAAGGACATGCGAATAATTATTTTTGTTAATTCTTCATGCCTCGTGAAAGTCGTGTTGCTAGGGCCTTTCGCC